CGAAATCGGAAACACCGGGTTGAGAGTATCATAGGCTGGGGGTCGGTGGCGTGGCGTTGGGCCGGTCTACAACCGATGAGGAAGCCGCTGAGATTCTCAGCAAGTGCGTCGAACTGGGTGTCAGCTACTTTGACACAGCCCCGGTCTATGGCGGAGGGCGTCAGCGAGCAACGCTACGGCAGGATTCTCTCTGAAATTCCACGTTCCAGTTTCACCATATCCACCAAGGTAGGGCAGGTTGCTGGAACCCGAGCCGCCCGCCCCGGTGGGTGCGGTAATAGGACCGGACGCGTCCAGAGACATGCCCTACATATACGACTACGATACGGTCATGCGGGTATTCGAGGGGAGCCTGAAACGGCTGAACTTAGACCACGTCGACATTCTCCTGATCCATGACCCGGACAACCATTTCGACCAGGCGATGGAGGGGGCGTACAAAGCCCTTGCAGAATTGCGTTCGCAGCGGGTGATTTCGGCGATAGGCGCCGGCATGAACCAGTGGGAAATGGAGGCCCGGCTGGCTCGCGAGGGAGATTTCGATTGCTTTCTTCTGGCGGGGCGGTACACCCTCCTCGACCATGCGGCGCTCTCCGAATTCCTGCCCCTTTGCCAGAGAAAAACATCAGCGTAATCATCGGGGGCCCGTACAACAGCGGCATTCTGGCCTCGGATCTGACGGAAACTGCGACCTTCAACTACCTGCCTGCCTCAGCCAAAGTCCTGGAGCAAGCAAGGCGTTGCGAAGCAGTCTGCGACCGGCATTCGGTTCCACTGAAGGCCGCCGCTCTTCAGTTCGTTTTTGGCCATCCCGCCGTTGCCGCAGTGATACCAGGCCCGGGGTCTGTGGCGGAGGCGGAAGAGAATTTCCGGATGATGTCGCATCCCATCCCAGCCGCGCTGTGGCAGGAGCTACGCCACGAAGGCCTTATTCCTGCCGATGCTCCCTGCCCACAATAGCAACACGTACTTATCTGGCTTGACCAGCAGCGGCCGCCGCGCCGGTATTTTGAAACTATCTCGAAACAATCTAATTTCGGCACCTTTGGCTGGGAAACAGTCCAAGCAACTGGATTCCCGCTCACCGTTTTTACAGGGACTAGGTTCGTGAGAATGCCGAATTGTGGGCAGAGGCGCGTTCTAAAGATAGTTTCTTGGTAAGTAAGGCGCGAAACCCAGAATACCTGAACCGGCCGCAGGGCGTCAGGCCTGCGTGGTGCCCTCCGGCGCAGGCGGCCGTTCCAGCAACTCCAGCCAGTTGCCGTCAGGGTCCTGCATGTAACAGCCTTTGCTGGCCATGGGGTATACCGCTCCGGGGCGTATGGCTGGCGGGCTTACGAACCTCACCCCCCGGCTTGAAAGCTCCGCGTAGAAGGCGTCCAGATCGTTCACTATTACGCCCAGGTGCGAAGCCCCCACCTGGTGCCGCTCTGGCATGGGAGCCGCCGTCCCCGCAGGGTTCAGGTACTGGATCAACTCCACGGAATGCCGCAAGTCGCCAGTTCCCAAGTAGACGATGTGCAGCCTGGCGTCGGGATACCCCACCAGCTCGGAGATAAACTCCCCTTCAAGGATCTGGTTCCGCTCCTGTTTGAGTCCCAGCAAGTCTTGGTAAAAATCCAGCGACCGCCCCATGTCGCTGACCACGAACCCCGTATGGTTCATCCATTCAACTTCCATTTTCATCCTCCACGTTCAACCTCGTCGTCTCTACCTGTACACTTTGATCCAGTCCGCCACCCTCTCGGCGATAAGGACGGCAGTGCAGTTGGTGTTGGCCCGGATCACGTCGGGCATCACCGAGGTGTCCGCAACCCGCAGGCCCTCGATCCCGTGCACCCTGCAATACTGGTCCACCACCGCCATCTCATCGGTGGCCGGTCCCCATTTTGCAAGTCCCGGATGTGTGGTATTGGGTGCCGATGTTGTCCAACAACCACGCATCCAGGGCCTCATCGGAACCAGGTCGGCGGCGGCGGGGAAAATCCGGCGGGTGATCAAGCCCCGGAATGCCGGGTGGTCGCCGAGCCGCACCGCCAGACGTACACCCTCCCGGGTGCGCTGCAAGTCCCAGGGGTCGCCCATGTACTTGAAGTCCATAACCGGCGGGTCGTCCGGGTTGGTTGACCGCAGTCTCAATTCCCCGGCGCTGAGGGCGTTCTGTACACTGGAGAAAATGGTAATGCAGTTGCCCTCAATATCCAGTGGCAGCCCCTCCGGCACGTGGGCCGGGTCCAGTGAAAGTATGCCCAGCTGCATGTCGTCCCGGGTGGTTGACCCCTCCGTGGTGTAGCGGAGCAGCGCTTGAAGCATCGCCTCCGTCTCGTCCTCCAACTCACCTTGGTACTCGTAAAGGGCCATGGCCATCGGATGATCGCGCAGATTCCGGCCGACGCCGGCCAGGTCGTGGACTACGTCGATACCCAGGTCCGCCAAGTGGCCGGCGGGCCCCACGCCGGAGAGCATCAGCAGCTGTGGCGTCGCAATGGCGCCGGAGCTCACGATGATCTCGTTCCCCAGCACCGTCATCGCTCCCCGTCGCTTTCCACCTCCACTCCGACCGCCCGCGCGCCGTCGAACATTATCCGCCTGACAGGCGCGTTGGCGCGAATGGTCAGATTCAGCCGGTGCCGAGCCTGCGAGAGGTAGGCCAAGGACATGCTCATGCGAACGCCATCCCTGTGGTTCAGAGGTGCAGGACCTATCCCGGTAGCGTCGGGGCTGTTTTCGTCCAGCGACTCCGGGAATCCCTCAGCCAGGCAGGCTTCATAGAAGGCCCGGGCAAACGGGGCCATGTCCGCCCTCTGGTAACGCCGCACCGGGATAGGCCCGTCGGAACCGTGGAAATCGCCCCGGAAGTCCTGGTCGCTCTCCATCTTTCGGAAGTAAGGCAGCATCTTGGCGAACGCCCATTCATCGTTGCCCTGGTCTGCCCAGCCGTCGTAGTCCTCGGGTATCCCCCGCAGAAACACTTGGCCATTGACCGCGCCGGACCCACCCACCACCTTCCCTCGCGGGATGGGTATCGCGGCGGTCTGCCGCTCGGTAATGTTGCCCAAGTACTCCCAACTGTGCGACCCGAAGGCGGACTTCAAGAAATTATTTCCCCGCTTCAAGTCATCGGGCAGAAGGCCCAGCTCCGGGTAGTCCGGCCCAGCCTCCAGCAACAACACGGAGCGGTCCGGGTCCTCAGAAAGCCGAGCGGCCAGCACGCTGCCTGACGACCCGGCTCCAATCACGATGATATCGTAAACCACCTTCTACCTCCGGCCGCCTTGATGGACGTTACGCACGCCACACCGTGAATATTAGCGAGGGGTGTCAACCCAGATTGCCAAGCCTTCCGCGACAGTATGTAAGATCCACTGTTTAGGACCAACGAACTGCAAAATGGCACTATGGCTGGCATTAAGAATGGGGCAGGATCACGCCTACAGTGAGTAAGGCGGCCTTGACTCCTTCGGCCGGTTGAAACTTTCGCCTGCGTCCAATTGCCAGGTTGTCCTGGGTCTGGTTGAAGGGTTAATCCAATGCCATGACGCTCCGCGTACAAATATCTGCACGACTAGCAGGCCCGCCCCTCAGCAGTGCCTAATCCAGAGGCTCCACGAAAGCCAGGATGCGCTTAGGATTCTCAACCATCATCATCCGGACATGCTCCTCAGAAACGCCAAGGCGACGCAACTCCGGCAGGAACTTCTCTACGATGAAGGAGTAACCCGTTCCGCCGTACTTCTTCAGCTGCATCTTCGTGCACACGTCCTGGGACAGCAGAATCCGGTCCGCGTAACCCGCCTCTATCAGCCTGGGTATCGCTTCCGCTACCATCGCAGTACCCGCGCTGGTCATGAACATCCTGAGGTCGTCCTCCGCTGGCGCAAACCGCAGCGGCACTCCCACCCTGCCCAGCAGGTCAAACTGGATGTAGACCCCGTGGTCCAGCAACTCCAGCATCAGGTCATAGTTCGCGGAGATCAAATCGCTATGGCCGAAGATCACACGGGACAGGTCCGTGCCCTCCTCACCCAGTATGCCAACCACCTCCAGCCGCTCCCTGCCAACACCGCCCACGGTGGAATGAGACAGGGGCTCCGGTGATGCGGCTAGCGCGGCCCGAGGCCCGGATGCTCTTGACCTCGTTCTCCGTGATTGGGTTACCTTCTATCCCGACTTCTCCGATAATGCCCGATCGGATGCCGGTGTTCCCCACCCCGACGGTAATGTCCCGGACTATCTCCTCCGTCATGTCCTCGACAGTCCGGCGGTCCATGTCGGAAGGATGATAAAGCTTCTGGTACCAGCCCGCGCCCATCACCACGTTCAGGCCTGTGGCCTGGGACACCCGGGACATTGCCAGCGGGTCCCGACGGATGCCGATGCTGGTGACCTCGACGATGGTACCGCCCCCGTGATAACGGAACTCCATGGCCTCGTCCATCGCAGTCTTCTCGTCCAGCAGGACCCAGTTGTCCCGGATCGGCTTGCGGTCCCTGGCCTGGTCCAGCAGGTTGATGGTTAACTCCTGGTCCCACAGGCACCATTCAGTGGCCGGAGTGTAGTCGTCCGGAGCCACACCCTTGTAAAGTGCGATGAACAAATGCTCGTGCATCAGCGTGGGACCCAGTTCGTCCGGATCTATTGGCCCCCGGACGGTCATTACCTTGCCGACCATGTTCGCCACTTCTGCAGTCACGAGCTCCTCCTCGCCGCCCTTTTCCTGCCATGATAGCAGCCGAAGGACCGAACCGAAGCCGACGAAAGTTACTGAGGACCGCCGGCCCGGAAACTCAGAAATGGCAACGGGCCGACAGATCAAGGACAGGTCGTTGTGCAACACCGGCACCGACTCCCGTTGGCGCAGATCCGGGGGAGGTCCGTTCTGCGAGTAATCGCTGTCCTGGCTCCTTGGCAGTTGGGAGGAGATCAGACTCGATCGCTTTACCACCTTCTTGAGATGCTCCATTACTCACAATTGACTGGTCTAATGCTGAATGACAACCCGCCAATGCCCCCGGAACCGTATTGCCACGTTCGACAAATTTCAGGGTTCAGCCGGCTGGACGGTGTGCCAGGGCCGCGATTCATGGGGCGATAAGGCGCCCCTGATCACGAGCACCCCAACAAGGCGGCCTCCAACTGCATAGAAGTTCTCCCGAAAGTCCCTCCGCAATCAATATTTGGGCTTCTGTGAGCAGGTCAGCAGATGAAACCCCGGCGGATTGCATCCCACTTGCGACGGGCACAGGGACGAAACCCGCCATACCAATGATCCCGTTGCGTCCGCCCTTCCCGCCTCCTGAAAGTGGGCGACCCCTCATGAATACTGGAACAGAGGGACATCGGGGGTTCCAATGAACCCAGTCCGACAGTCATAACACAAGAGTGGAGGTCGGTAGACGCAGTCGGTTACTATGCAACCATTGGAGAGCACCATGCACAAAGGGGAAAGGGGCAGGAAGCACTCCCTTGGCGTCGACCGACGGGCATCAGCTATACCAGAGCATCGGCAACAGTTATTCGGGGCTCCGCCGGCCGGACCCCCGAATTCAACGGCTGGTCCTCACCGCCCTGGGTGATGCCGGGAGCGTCATCAACGTTGGAGCTGGCACCGGCAACTACGAACCTGCAACCCTCCGTGTATGCGCAGTCGAACCGTCGCCTGCCATGATCGCCCAAAGAAAACCCGGAGCCGCGCCTGCGGTTCGCGCAGTGGCTGAGGCCTTGCCTTTCGGTGATCACTCGTTCGATGCGGCTCTGGCCATTCTCACCCTCCATCACTGGAGGAACCTCGCGGGTGGGCTTTCAGAACTGCGCCGGGTGGCGAGGCGCCAGGTGATCTTGATCTTTGAACCGTGGGTTTCCTGGCAATTCTGGCTGGTCGAGTACTTTCCGGAATGCCTTTCGCTTCCCTCGGAGAAAAGGGCGCCGAACATCGACGACCTGCGTCCGTACCTGGACATCCAGACCGTCCTGCCCGTGCCAGTGCCGGCGGACTGCATTGATGGATTCGCGGGAGCATATTGGTGTCGGCCCGAGCGGTACCTGGACCCGTCAGTGCGGGCGGGAATCTCGAGCCTGGCCCAGCTGCCGCCCGAGGTGGCAGAACGTTGCGCCCAAAAGTTGCGTCAAGACCTGGAGTCAGGGAGTGGGACGCCCGTTTCGGATACCTGCGTGAGCTGACGGAACTCGACCTTGGCTACCGGCTAGTGATTGCTGAATGATCTCCGGAAACAAAGCTGATCGGGTTGGAGACACCGAGGAACGGACGGCTATATACAACTTTGAGAAGACACTTGGTGGACGAACTCCTGTCTGCCTGAGTGGGCACCCTTCCCGTCCGGGTACAGTGCCTGCAGACCCGGTGAAATTGTGGAGGACGCTATGAGAATCCCCATTACCATGTGCCACGGAATCAGGCCCATCGCTGCGGGTGCCCTGCGCCATCCCTTGACCGAGGAACGATTCAACGCGCTTATGGGAATCGCGGCGGATATGGGGTTTCAGTCGATCAACTACGACCAGTTGGCGGCGTGGCGGGACGGAACGGGCTCACTGCCGGAACGGCCGATCATGATCGACTTCGACCACCCGGTGGTGTCGATGCGGCGGGAGGTGTTTCAGACGCTGGAGCGGTACGGATTCCAGGGGAACCTGTTCATCTACACCTCCCCCTACGATCCGGAATATCCCCGCCCGCTGGCGCTGGCCCAGGTGCCGGAACACATGCCATGGTCGGAGATCCGGGAGCTTAGGGAGTTGGGCTGGCATATCGGCGCCCACACAGTCAGCCATCCCAACCTCTCAAATCTGGCCGCTGAGGACACGGACGGCGAGGTGCTGCGGGAGGAACTGGACCGGTGCAACCAGGTCATCGAGGAGAACATGGGCTTCGTGCCTCAAGACTTTGCCTTCACTGGCACCAGCTGGAGCAGCGCCGCCGAGGCAGAGGTCAGGAAGAGGTACCGCTTCGGCAGGCTGTGGGTCGTAGGGTCGGAATACGAGGCCGACGGCAAGCCCATCCGCTATGCGGAGCTGGCCGGTTCGTCGGGACCCGATGAGGCCGACGGAGGGCCCGCCCAACAGCACCAGGTACATCACCGAGCACACCGACCCGCACCGCCTGCCGTCCATGGAGTTGCAGGCCCTGATCAATGACCCCGGAGCTTTCCGCTCGTACCTGGAGGGCGCGCTGGACGGGTAGGAAGGCAATCCGATCCGAAACGCGAAAGGGAGTGTGAGCCATGACGCCCGGACGATTCAGCCTCGCCAGTCAGGCGGGGCGCGTTCCATCCATGACCGTGCCGCTGGACGCGCGGCAGGAAAGCAGGTTCCAGCGCTGATGGAAGAGTCGGTCATGATCGACCTCCACCAGCACCCCATGGTCATGCCCGAGGACTTCACCCAGTACTGGGACTACCTGCGCAGCGACGACTACGTCTGGGGCTATGACGCGGTCCGGGAAGGGGGCTTCACCGCCGTCGGGACGGCAAACGTCTTTCGCGGCATGCTGAACACCAACGAGATGTCCTTCATTCGATTTTCCGACCTGCTGGACGAGATCAGCATAATGATTTCGGACATCTCGCGGCATGAGGACGTCGTGCAGGTCGGCAGCGCCGCCGAGATAGAGGCGGCAAAGCAGCGGGACAAGGTGGGTTTCCTGCCACGGTGGAGCACCTGGCGATAGGCAACGAGCTGGACCGGGTGGACGTGCTCTACAACGCCGGGATACGGCTGGCGGGCCTGACCTACAGCCGAAAGGCCTACATCGGCGACGGCATCTTCGAGCGCAACGACGGGGGCCTCAGCGAGTTCGGCGTGGAGGTCGTGCGGCGGATGAACGAACTGGGGATGGTGGTCGACGTTTCTCACGCATCGTTCCGTACTGCCATGGACGCCATCGAGGCGTCCGAGTCGCCGGTTACCTTCAGCCACGACGGCTCCTACACCCTGGCCAGCGACAGCCTCCAGTCTCGCCGGCTGAGGAAAGGACGAAGAACTGCTGGCCTCCGCCCGGAAGGGCGGCGTGATCGGCATCACCGCCGTGCCCAACCGGCTCAGCAACGACCCGGAGCAGAGCATCGAGTGCGTGCTGGACCACTACGACTACTTGGTGAAGCTGGTCGGCGTGGACCACGTGGCCATCGGCACCGACGCCAGCATCGGCGACATGGTCGAGATCAGCCGAGTGATGCTGGGCCGGACGGGCCCCGCTCCGGCGCCATACCTGAACGGCCTGGAGTCGCCGGCCGACGGCAAGAACATCATCCGCGGCCTCATAGCCAGGGGTTACTCCGACGGGGACGTGAAGAAGATCGCGGGAGCCAACGTGCTGGCGTTTTTCAGCCGAATAATGGGCTAAACGAGCGCCTCGTTCTGAGTCACCTGGCAGACTTTTCATAGCATCCCCTCCCCAGCTGGAAGCCGCAGGCAGGTCAGGCCGATCCAGCAAATAGCGTGCGGCCTTGTTTTGGAAGCACCCGACTGCTGAACGATCCAAGATGATCCAATGCAGTCTCGCTATTGAGTTTCCGAATGACTAAAATCAGGGTTCCCCAGTCACCCCCGAGGAGGCCGGCATGAGCGTCCTGATCAAAAACGGGCACATCTTCACCGCGGTGGACAACTACCTGGCCGACATCCTGGTGGACGAGGGAAAAGTCCGCACCATCGGGATTGACCTCACGGCCGACGCGGAGAAGACAATCGACGCCACCGGCAAGTATGTCATTCCCGGAGGCATCGACCCACATACGCACCTGGACTTTCCCTTCGGCGGTACCGTGTCCTCCGACGACTTCAGCACCGGAACCATCGCAGCGGCGGTGGGCGGCACCACCAGCATTGTGGATTTTGTAGTGCAACAGCGCGGCCAGGCTTTGACAGAGGCACTGGAAATCTGGCATCAGAAGGCCGAGGGCCGGGCTGCCATCGACTATGGCTTCCACATGATCGTTCAGGACCTGCCCGACCACCGGCTATCCGAGATGGACGAGATGGTCAGGCAGGGCGTCACCAGCTTCAAGATGTTCATGGCCTACCGCGGCGCGGTGATGGTGGACGACGACACCATCTTCAAGGCAATGGTCCGGGCTTCGGACAACGGGGCGCTGATCTGCCTACACGCGGAACACGGGCACATGATCGACGTTCTGGTGCAGCAGGCCCTGGCCCAGGGCAATACGGCCCCCAGGTTCCACGCCAGCACCCGCCCGCCGGTGACCGAGGCGGAGGCCACACACCGGGCGATACGCATGGCAGAGATCGCCGGTGCTCCGGTCTACTTCGTGCACCTGAGCTGCACCGAGGCACTTGAGCAGGTGCAGGCGGCCCGCTCCCGGCAGAACTACGTCTATGCCGAGACCTGCCCCCACTACCTGACCCTGGACGACAGCATGTACGACCAGGAGGGTTTCGAGGGGGCCAAGTACGTACTCACCCCGCCGTTGCGCAACAAGGGGCACCAGGACGAACTCTGGAAGGGGTTGCGTCGCAACGACCTGCAGGTGGTGTCCACGGACCACTGCGCCTTCCGGTTCGGCGACCAGAAGACCCTGGGACTCAACGACTTTTCCAAGATTCCCAACGGCGGGCCTGGGATCGAGAACCGTCTCAGCCTGCTCTATACCCACGGAGTCGACTCCGGGCTTATGGACCTTAACCGAATGGTGGAGTTGTTCTCGACGAATCCGGCCAAGCTCTTCGGCCTCTTCCCTCGCAAGGGCACCATCGCCGTGGGCAGCGATGCCGACATAGTGGTGTTCGACCCCGACGCGGAGACGGTGATCAGTGCCCAGACACATCACATGAACGTGGACTACAACCTGTACGAAGGGATGAGGGTGAAGGGCGTGCCCGAGACGGTAATCGTCAACGGGCGCGTACTGGTCGAGGATGGTCAGCCCGCCGGCATCCCGGCAGGTGGGCGTTTTCTCCGGCGCAGCACGCAATAACGATGTGAGGTCAGCGTGACCCAAGGAGCAGACATGCAAAGAGTCGGGCTCATTTTCCTGGACCGTCCGTCCCTTGGAGAGCAGGTCGAGTTGGTGAGGTACGCCGAGGAGCGCGGGTTCGAATCCGCTTGGGCCTGCGAGACCCGGCTTGCCCGCGACGCCATGACGCCCCTGGCGGCTTTCGCCCAGGCCACCAGCCGCATCCGGCTGGCCACCGGGGTGGTCAACAACTGGACCCGCACCACCGGCCTGATGGCGATGACCCTGGCCACGCTGCATGAATTGTCGGGCGGGAGGGTGACCCTCGGGATCGGAGCTTACTGGGACCCGCTGGCCCGAAACCAAGGAATTCGCCGCCGGAGGCACCTGGCCGCTATGCGGGAGTATGTAACGGTGGTCAGGCGCCTGCTAAACATGGAAACCGTGAACCTGGACGGCGAGGTGGTCAAGATGCAGGACCTCCGCCCCGACCTGGGAGACGGGATGCCCAGGGAGCCGATTAACGTTCCGATATACATCGGTGCCACCGGCCCCAGAATGCTGGAACTGGCAGGAGAGATAGTGACGGCGTTTTTCACAACTTCTTTACATCGACAAGTTACCTGCAGCAGTCCCTGAAGCGACTTGAGGCTGGAGCGGCGCGGGCCGGCCGGTCCATGGACGATATCGACATGCCCCAGATGCTGGCTGTGGCCATGTCCAACGATGCCGAGTACGCCAGGAACGTCGCCCGGCACGACGTGACCATGTACCTGGGGCAGCAGCCTCACATCGGCAAGGCCAGCGGAGTGCCCGGGGAGGTCATTCAAAGCGTCCATGACGCCATGGGCGGCTGGCCTCCAAGAGAAGGCGGAATCGAGGAGGCAATGTCACTGGTGAGCGACGACATCGTGGGCCTCCTCAGCGCGGCCGGTACCCCGGACATGTGCCGGGCACGAGTGCAGGAATACGTGGACGCCGGGGCGTCTTACCCGGTGCTCTGCTCGCTTACCCCCAACATTCGTGAAATCATCGACGCTTTCGCCCCGAACTAGCGCTTTCCTGCATTCGGACTTGCCAGACCGGTCGGGCGCCCCGACGTGTACAGTGGCACACCCTGGGCCACACCCAGTCGGGCAAATCCTCCATGTCCCGGATCATCTCTTCATTGCTTCTGGCCACCTGGGCAATTGGCACGAAGGAACTAATCAGCTGGGTAACTCCCGTGTGTCACCAGCGGCGGAAGAGTGTACCACCGTGGTGTCGAAGGCCAGCATAAAGCAACTGTCTTGAAGATCATCAAGATACGACAGCGGGATCCCAAGGCCTTGCGGCCTTTGCCATGCTGTTGAGTACAGTCAGCAATTTTCGCATGCACGCAGTGAGCGCCAGCTTTTTCGGTTTCCCCGCCGCCAGCAACCGTTGGTAAAACTCCCCTATCACCGGATTACACCGGGTGGCCACCAACGCGCCCATGTACAACGCGGCGCGGACTCTAGCCCTACCTCCCCACACGCTACGCTTTCCTCGGTGGGGTCCACTGTCCCGGCTGAACGGTGCCACTCCTACCAGGGCGGCAATTTGCTTCCGGCCCAATGTGCCCAGTTCCGGCAGATCAGCCAAGAGTGTGATTGATACCTGCCGTCCTACACCGGGAACGCTGCGAAGGAGCACGTCCTTCTCCCGCCATACTGGGACTGCTTTGGACGATCCCCCGAAGTTCGTCATCCAGATCTTTCAGTTCCTCCTCAAGCCAGGTGATGTGGGTCTGGATGCGATTGCATACCTCCGGAATGGCCCGTCCGCGCCGGTTCCTCTCGGCCGTCAGCATCGCCACAATCTGGCGGCGGCGCGACAACGTAGCACTCAGGGCCTGGGCTTCGGCGTCCCTCAGAGGTCGCACCGTTGGCTGGACGGCCTCACCGGAGGTGTGCCAGGATTCGGGCGTCCAGTCGGTCATTCTTGGCCAGCTGGCCGGTGGACTTGGCGAAGTCCCTTACCTGGCGTGGATTGACCACCGCCACTGGCAGCGACGCCGCGGCCAGTGCTGCCACCAAGGGAAGCTCCAAGCCACCTGTAGCCTCCACGATCGCACAGTAGGCTCAATGGTCTGTAGTTTGGCGACAAGCTCATCCACCTCGGCTTCGATGTAGTTCACGCTCCAACCGTGGCCCGTGGGCCGTATGAATATATCCACCCGGTCCTTGGCGACGTCAATGCCTACGTAGGTGGGCTGCGTTTTCATGTTCACCTCCCCATGATACTGGCTCGGCCTTGCAAGATACGGGCTTGGTCAGCCCGGGCAACTGTTCGAGCTCCGCTGGGGATGAGTGCGGCGACCCTCGCTTTATGACGGCCTAATATGACCAATGTCCGGTCGGTCTGCCGCACTCTGAACCGATCCTGATGATGCCATTGTCCCATACATTCCCAGATACAATGTCCGGCTAGGTGTTCAGCATAAATGTCATAGAGTTACGCATTGAGAAGCTATGCCGGGGAGGGATAAGATAGAAGGAGTGAGGGGAGGTGGGGAGGATGAACCCAGCCAGTGTGATTGCGTGGCCTACATTCAGTTCTTGGTGGCAGCCCAGAAGAGATTTACCTGGCAGCGAAGCCGGCGGGTGTCAACCGAATCACCGCAAGCTCCAGCCCATGACGCATTCACCCTCTGCTGGAGACAGCCCCCCGGCAAGGGGCGCTGTGGCGGAAACCCGGGATTGTGCGACGGGAGGAGGGGGTGCTGGTGCTGGACGACACCACCCTGGACAAGCCCTACGCCAAGCGGATGGAACTGTGTCCCCGGCATTGGAGCGGCAAGCATAAGCGAGTGGTATGGGGCATCAACCTGCTGACCTTGTTGTGGACTGATGGCAATGCGCTGATACCCTGCGATTTCCGGGTCTATGACCGTCCCCTAGCGGACTGACCAAGAACGACCACTTCCGGCGGATGCTGGAGGTGCGGAAGGGCGGGGCTTTCAGCCCCGTTGGGTGCTGTTCGACAGTTGGTTATAACCAGCCTGGGAGATTTTGAAAGCCATCCGGGATAAGGGATGGTTCCTGGTCTGAGCCCAATGCGGTCCAACCGGCGGGTGAATCCCGACGGGAGCGGGGAACTTGCCTTGGCCACCGTGGCCATACCCCAGGAAGGCCGGCAGGTGCATCTGCGAGGCTATGGGTTTATCCGGGTGTTTCGGACGGTCTCCAAAGACGGGGACGTGGAACCTGGGCCACCAAGACCTGGAAATGACGGAGCAACAACGGCAAGCCTGGCGCGCCAAGCCTGGGGAATCGAAACGTACCATCGGGGCCTCAAACATGTTGTGGCGTGGATGAAATGCCAAGTGCGTACGGCAGAGGGACAGCGGAATCACATCCGCCTGTCCCTCCAAGCCTTCCTGCGGCTGGAAGCCCACCGCTTGAGCGCCGGAGTTCTCTGGTACGAGTCCAAGCCAACATCATCCGCTCGGCCTTACGAGATTACCTGGCTTATCCCAAGTACAACCTCTCCATCCAACTGCGTAACTCCGATGTCACTTTGTTATGGCGCCACTGTATCGGATGTGACGCAGTGAGAAAACAGGCCGGGACCGCCGCCCCGGAGGACCGTCGGCATCCATGTATTTCTTGATGGTTGCTCTGTGGATCCCCAGCTCCCTCTCGATCGCCCGCAGCGACATCCCCTTGCGCCTGGTTTTTTGAATTGCCTTCCATCTCTCCTTCTGCAGGAAGGTTGGTTTGCGCGGGAGGCAGTTGCGGGCGTCAAGGCAGCGGACGCAACGCCGGTTATGCCCGCTTGATCCTCCTCATCCGCTGCCCTTGAATCCAGAGGTTTGAGGGCCGCTGCCCAGCGCTGGCCCAAGTGGTTGGCTCCGGAGGTTGAGGCAAGAGGAGTCGCGGAATCTCCATGGCCCTTGCGGAGGAATGCTGGGCTGGGCTGGGCGGCGCCTCCTGGGGGGCGATGATGCGTCCCTCATGGCGCACCCTGAACCGGCCGTCCAGTCCTTCCAGGACCTCGACAACCGCCCCGGCATAGCTGGATCGTTCCGGGCTTGGCAGCAACTGCAGGGTAGGCAGCTGGAACCCCACCGTATGTCCTTGGCCATCTTCCTGCGGTGCTTGAAGCACAGGACCTGCTCCAGGGACAGATCAGAGCCCAGAGGCCGGTATGCGGACTCAGGATATTGCGGGGGGACCCGGAAGCGCCGGTTGATCAGCTCCAAGAGACCCAGCGTGTCCCGGTCCAGCCGGTCCAGCCGGTCCAGCCGGTCCAGCGCGGTTACTACCAAGACATCTCCGGTCTGTCAAACGTTCACCAGACCATTCAGTCCGGGTCTATGCATCACGGTCCCTGTGATAATGTCCTGGTGGATATGGGCGGCGGCGACACCAGTGTTAGTGCGCCGCATCCGCTGGTTCTGCAGGGTGTCCGTTCCGTCGTCTTTGCCGCGGGCACGCGGGCGTAACCATAAGTCGTCATAGTCTGCTCCCGTGGGTTGGCGGGGGTGTCGCAAACGGGCGCCTGTCTAACGACACCCCCGAAGAGCCCGTCTTTCACCGCCGCGGCAAAGCTGGCTCCGGGGTGTCGTATAGCATCAAACGGCTCCGTAGTGTAAACCGGGGTCTAACGCACCCAGGGCTTTTAATGTCCTTTCTCCCGGTGGGGGAGGGAACATTCCCTGCAATCCAGAGACCCTCGCATAGGCCGCCGGCGGCTCTACATCACGGACAGCATCCAAAATCCGCAGGCCGGGGAGTGATGGGCCGGGCCGGCGGCAATTCGCCCTGCCAAGCGGTTTC